TCTCGCATCAAAAACATTGAGCCTGTCATTTCAGTGCCTGCGCACACACGTACCCTGGCTGATGAACACACTGAATTTCTCTTCTGCGAAGGTGCTTTCTTTTCACACAACTTTTTTTAGCATCCTTTCATAGGGATGCATCTTTCATAAGCTCTACCAAAGAAAGGGTTATATACTTGCACAGCCACATCAGCACTACCAGAAACGTTCAGATGGATCTGCAGCCTTCTAAGGTAACAGCCGCCTGTCGCTAGGCAACAAACAAGAATATAGTATTTTTCAGGAGGGAGGGTTTTCCTCCGTGATCTCGTTCGGTTGCTGAGCTTTTTTCCTTATAAGAAGAAAACTGTTCATTGGAGAAATGAGTCTGTCATCCTGTCATCATCAAGCCATATGGATATATAGGCTTCCCTTGATTATCTGCGAAATAAAAAAATAGGTACCATTAACAATGCATTGTTAATTTCTATTTTTTGCATATTGGTGAGTTATTTCACACAAGGCTAGAAACCACAAGATTTTATGACAGATTTCACTAAGCATCAGTAATTAGAATGCTTCAGCAGATATCAGGTCAGCTGAAGTAAATGGAATCTCGGTTCCGTGAGACGGTGTCGCGGCTCAAAGCCAGGCTTGGCCTCGGGCTGCAGGGCGTCCCGCTGTGCACGGCCATGGCTGCGCATGGGGCAGCGCCTGGGGCTGCCGGCCCTGGTCTCTGGGCAAAGACCCTTGCCCTGCTCTTGCTCTTGGGTTTGTGCTCGCTGAGACCTCGGCCCTTGGCTGCTGGCTGTGTGAAATAGCAGCACCATCTACCGGGGTAAGGCCAGCAGCCCCGAGCAGCACGAGAGCTTGCAGTGGAATTGCAGGCGGGTGTTTCCTGTCTCCCATTCCTCCCGTGTTCTCTTTGCCAAGCTGCGTGTACAACATCTGTACAACACTCTGCTTTCCAGGTTGAGTGCGGCCCAGACAGCTGCATGGCCAGGATGGGTGGTCAGCGGTGGCAGGAGCCCTTATTATTTTATCTGTGTGCGCTGGAGCCGCTCAGTGGGATCCTTTCCCTTGTTCCCAGCTGGACCGAGCTACGATGCAGAGCACGTTGCCTCTTTCATCTCGTCACTCCTGGTTGCAAGCAGGGATTGCCCAGTGAGGCGCATAGGACAAAAACACATGGTCTATTTGTAGTCTGTCAAAGACTTGAGCAGCTTGTAGCAGGCTGCAGCCTGGCACACAGTGAGATGTCAGAGGGGGGCATGCCATCGTTCCCAACTGCTTATTTCAGACTCTGATGACAGTCATAACAAAGTTACTGCAGTTTTGAGGGTTAGTAGAATATGCTGTAAAAGTGCAGTGGTACACTAGCTGATAGGTATTATGGAAGGGGAGGGGAGGAAATTGCTTAATCAGCAAATCCTATTTCCAACTCCTGGTCAATATTTGTCATTAGTGAGAATCATTTATAAAATAGAATTTGCCTAGCACTTTCTCTTATCCACTTCCATCTTTCAGAAAGTGACTAAAAACTCATTTTGAAATTCAAAGAGAAATAATTTATATGACTTGCTCCTAATAATTTCGCATCTACAGGAAATGTCTTAAAAACAGCACTGCAGCTTTTTTTATTATTATTCAATTTTTGTTAATAAAACAAGCATTGCTCTGTTTAAACTGTTGGGAGTAAATTTTGGAATCTGTTCTCATTTACTGGGTTTCTCTGCATGCAATTCGGACAACATGCACGGTTTATTTGTCAGCTGAGGAGGGCAAGGATTGGTGCTTAAGGACCTCCACCATCCTTGGCTAGAGCAGGTGCCAGCTCTTCCATCAGCAACAGTGTCGGCTCTTGGAGCAGCCAGGAAGCAGGGGTTAAGTAAGCCAGTGCTCCTGACAATCTGCTGGGAATATCTTGGTGCAAACCCTGGGACCCATCTGCTGGGAAGCCAGATGGGACTAACTGGGTAGATGGGGAGAAGGGATGCCTGCCCTCCTGGAGCTGCTGGCAGGGAGGGACCTGGGTCCCGTGCAGTGGGGCTGCCAGGGCTTTGCCGCCGCTGTGCGAGGCACTAGCAGCTGGGGTGCTGAAGGGAGAGGGACTGGGGCAGCTCTTGGCCTGCTCGGCAGCACCCGGGCGTTCGCATCACGCTGAGGCTCCTCGTGGTCTGCCTGGCTGCAGGCTCTGCCCGTGCCCAAGGTGCAAACCTGAGGTGGGGAGGCGTCTGCCATAAGGTAATGGGAGTCTGGGTTCCCTGCGCTTGGCCGGGTGGCGTTTCCTGCAAGCGGCAGTAAAAGCTCCTGGGTCTTCCCTGCTGCAGCAGGAGGCTGGAAGCCTCCCAGAGGCAGGGGCTGGACACAGGTGTTTGTTCCTGCCCTTTCCTTCTCTTTCTCTTCCTGTGCTGGTGACTGGCAGATTATTTAAGGATGCGGGTAAATGTGTGGAATGAATCTGGAGAGCAGGATTTTAATCCATGCAGACAACCAGGATGACATTCTCAGTGCAGCAATGCTGCTCCAGAGCTGCTGTAGGTTGTAGATATTCCTTACAGGTGAGGCATGGGAGAAGAAGTACATAAACAGGTAATAAGAAATATTTAAGGATACCGAAGTAGGTAGCATGTCTTTTAATTTTGTTGGCAGGTGGTGAGGCACACCAACAAATTTAAGTACCTAGGTAACAGCCTCAATTCCCCCTGGGATTATTTTCTAAAATGATACTTAGCTTTCCATAGTAACATTTGAAAGATTTTGCTATAAAACTTCCCTTTCAGTTAAGGAAAACTTTGAGTCTGCCTTTTGTTTGCAGTCTGTATTAATGCCAAAGGGTGCATTTTGTCAGGGAAATGGCATAGTTATCTCCTTGACAGGTTCAATAGAGATGTTTTTAGCAGCCATAAAAAAATATTCCAAAACATGTAGTTTATAAATCAAAACTGCAGAGGGAGATCTCTATCAAAGTACTTTATTCATGTAAACACATCAATCTTGAGTATGGTCAGAAGATTGGAATAACTTTTTTTTTTTTTTTTTCCTTAAACAGTTCCCCGTGTGTGGCACACATCACCCGAGGAACACAAGAAATATTTCCCTTCAAAGTGTAAATCTGTGACATCTTCCATGGACAGTGTTTTACTTGTACCTCTGAAAAAGAAGTTGTCCCCAGGCTGTTTTCTATCCACTTGTAATGAAACTGGGGGAGGAACCAACTTCAAAAGTTGCAGGTTGATGGTACTAGAAAGCAATGACAGAAGGAGGGCACCCAGAAAGAGGGAAAGTTCCTTCCCGCGGGTAGGGGCAGGCAAGCGCGTGCCGAGGGGCAGGGTGGAGGTGCTCGGACCGCACCGCGTGGGTCTGTGGCCTGGGCACGCGGCAGGTTGCTCCAGAGCACGACGCGGCCGGGGAGCTTGAGCTGCCGCGTTCGCAGTTCAGAGCAGCGAGCGCCGCTCGGGCACCCCCGGGAGCCTCCGCTCGGCAAACACATGGCTGCTGCTGGCACTCTGCCTGAACAAGGCTGCTCGTACTCACTGCAGCTGCTGCAAAGAGTCATATTTTCTGAGGTGTCCTATTACAAGGCATTCCAGAGATGAAATTGGGGGGGTGGAAATGTTTGAAAACAGGTATTTGTAGCATTTTTTACTCCTATTTTCTTCCTGCTCTGCAGGAGCCAGATAATAATCATTATGACTGAAGATTTTCTATTCTTCTGACAACTATGGAATCTAAACACTGAAAACACATGTTTCTGCTGCTTTGAAAAGGTGAGTGATTAAAAAAAAAATCTCCCAGGGTTATTATGTACAGTGTGCCCCTGAGTGTTATCATGTTGGCAAGGCAAATGCCAACATCTCAATAAATTATTCAATTTCTTATCGTATAACACCAAAAGCTGAGCAGTATTGATTCAATTAAATATAATTTCCAGATTCCCTTTCCATTTGGAGTGCAGGTTGAAGCAATCTGTTGACAGTTACTCATCCTTCTGTTTTCTCCACACACATACTTGCACTCTAATTTTCCTGTAAAGCTTGGAAGGCACCATTCACTTTCTATTAAAGAAGAAAAAAAGAAAACAAAACAAAAATCCAACAAAGCTTGTCACCCATGAGATGCCTGCACACTCTGTCATGGTCCAAGCTTTCATTTGTGGTGCAATAGCTGGCAACATCAGAACTGATTAATGATTCAACAAGAGAAGCAGAGAAGGAAGGTAATGCAAACAGAAGGCACTTTCTGCTCCTTTTCCAGTATTAGTATTACACAAATATTTCTTTATTTACAGTTTCAAATTCATGCATCCAGGCAAGAACTGATCATTCCAAGGACGCTAAACCAAATGAGCAGATGAAGGCTGCTGCAGAGCTGGCATTCTGCACAACCCCTGTGAAAACTAGGTATCTCACTCCCAAACTGGAAGGAAATTAGGACTTATTTCTGTCCTAGTTTGCTCTGTGATATGAGCTATCCTACCTGGTTACCACTTCTTTTTTTTTTTTTTTAAAAAAAAAAAAAACTCAGCAGAAGTGTCAGGCTGTGATTTACACAGTCTGTTAGTAAGGTTCACCATTTTAAAGGATCCTCCAAGATTCTTCAAGAGAAACTAGTACTGAAAAATAGAGTATTATAGATAGGATCAGCACAATCTACTTTGGGGGGGGGGCGGAAAGTGTATGAGATCCTCACTCTTCAGCTACCTGACGAGGGTGAAGGTGTTTGATACCTGACACACAGCACTGCATTTGTGCAGGCACCAAAACACCTTGTCTATTTAAAAGTCTGTTTTTTTCCTCCCCTATGTGGTCCAGGATTAAAATATCTCTTACCCAACAGTTGCCTGTGGTAGAAATGGACTTGAACTTCTGTGTCATATTTTAACACCCTGTGACGGGACTATTTTCTAATACAAAAAATCTCATTGGGCTATAGCTAACAAATTTAAAGTTCAATTTTTATAATATTTGTGTAGTTACCTGCAATAAAATTTCCCACATAATTTTTGTAGAAGTAATGAAATGTTTCTTTAAGAAAATACAAATAATTTTGTTTTGTTTATAGATACACAGATAGTGAAACACTTGCATCAGCACTTATATACAAAATTAACTTAACAAAACATAATACCAAAGGTTTCCTCAGTGGGCAATTATGACCGAGCAGACAAGCACTGATTCACTACTTCCAGCAAGTGAGAGTTTTCCAGAGCAGCTGCTACACGTTCTTTATCAGCAAGCTGTTTATTAACTGTTCAGGGAAAAAAAAAAGTTAGAACTAGTCAAAACATTGTTATGCAATGTCTTTTTAAAAACATTTTATATTGACTGATAATTAGACTGTTGCTACGATACTCAGGTAGACTAGTAACTCTGCAGAGGCTGAGTACACCACAGAATTGTAATATAAAGTCAGAGCTACTGTATTATATCACAAATTAGACAAGAAGGCTATTTATAATTCTGCAGCAGTGACCTATGCACATATAGCTGCAAAAAGACAAGAAATTTATCCCCAGCTTCTCATTTTCTGTGTCCTCCATTACCTGGGCAAACCAGGGACTATTTGAGAGCACAGGCTGTCTGATGAAATGTTTCAGCTAAGGTGTACGACTTATCTAGTTTCATTACTATCCATTTCAGTTCTGTAATAATCTGCTGGAAGCGGCTGGTGTGTGTCAAGTCCCAGCTACTGCACAGCTGCTTCTGCAAATTCAGGAGTCTCTCTCATCTCTAGTCTGCAAGATTAACAATGTAGAGAAAGCCACGCAAGAGAGAACTAAAGAGCTTACCTGCGTGCTCAGAGACATGTGTTCCTGGTGTTATGTGAACATCCACCTTAACAGAAGAAGAAAGAGGGGACAAGTCAACAACACCAGGCAAGTTTGAGCCCTTGCGATTTTAAGCCCCTCCACCTTCTTTTTGATTATGTCATTGCCCACCTTAAACCTCTCTGGCAGGGAGCGGATCAGCTTCACCTTTATGGAGAGGCCGATGAGGGTGGCCATGCTGCAGTGCGGGATGGTGGGGGTGAAGGCCACGGCCACGGTGCTCTCAGCGTCGTTCACCTGGGGACAAGGAGCCCCGCGCTCGCACCCAGGTGCAGGCCGAGCCCCCGGCCCCCCTCCCCGGGCCGGCC